CACTGGACAAAGAAGTCCATGGACCCCAATCTGCATGAAGGGTACACCTGGGTTGGAGTATGAACCTCTGGAGTGCATCTCTTTTCAAATAAACTCCATCTTTTCAGTCACCTGGTGATGGTTAACAAAATCAAGAAATTGTCAAAGATCTCAATTTGCACAAGATGTCACAGCTTTCACACAGAAAGAAACTGTGTGTGATCTCTATATTGTGAGAAGTGCAGCAGTCTCACACACTCAGACAGATGTCAAACACCAGCTCACTGCTGCAACTGCCTTGGCCCTCATCCCACTCTCAGCATTGACTGTCCAGCAAGGCTCAAAATAGTCTCTGAATGTATAGAACACATCTTCTGCCATCAGCTACACTCAATATGTGAAGCTGGCAGAAGAGCATTCATCTCAGCTCATCAAACTTCAGCAGAGAAGAGCAACTCAGAGCTAAACTCTAGAAACTCCACCTCATCCCCTCTCTCAGCTCTGCTGACACCAGTCACTAGCTCTCAGAGCAACCAGACAGACTCAATGACCTGCTCTCAAACAGGCACCAAGATCACATCAAGTCTGAACCTTCATTAATGAAGAGCAGTCACAGCCCTTCTCACAAATCTACACTCACTGTATATCAAGTCAATGTAGGAAGACAGTCAAGCTCTCATGACATCACTCTCTCACTAGCAGATGAAAGAGTCTGTGACATTGTGATCATTCAGAAACTCTGAATAGCTACAGACCTCTTCATCTGCCTCTTCAAAAGTCATCTCTCATACAAATGCTTCATTCTGCTCTTCTTCAACTGGATCAAGAGACCCAGAGTACTGCTCTATGTCAGAAATAGAAGAGCTCTTGCACCAACTCAACCTATAGCAGATATCTCAAGGAATGTTGTCTGTGTCTCAGTTAAGATCTCTAACTTCAAAAGAGCTAATATCTACAACATATACAACACCTCATCTGGCATCACAGATGCAGGTCAAGGCCTTCAAGACCTTCTCTCTCTTACACACACCACAGAGACCATCCCCTGGATGGCATTAGAAGACTTTAATATTAGACACACAGCATGAAACTCTACAACTGATAGACATTCTCAAGCAGGAGAGAATCTGTATAACTGAGCAATCTCTCTGGAACTCCAGCTTCTCAACCCAGCTGAATCCCCTACACATAGACAAGAAGGCACACTTGATCTTGTCTTCTGTGCTGCCAACTCAGCTATCTGTCATATTGCTTCTGAACTGCACTGCATCTCAGATCATGAAACTCTTATCACAACAGTTCAATTATCACAGACTCAGACTCAATTGATTAAGAAGAAGAAGCTTAGTCTTGTGACCTGCAATGCTGATCACTTCTTGCAACTACTCACTCCCTTCTCCTCACTGATCTATGAGAATGTGAATGAGGAAGTGGTGAACATCATGAAATCTCTTCAACTGGCTCTACAAGACTCCTGCTCTCTCACCCCAGGACTCAAGAGTCATCATGCCTCATGGTGGACCCCAGCAGTCAAGATAGCCAGAAGAGTATATCATGCAGCATGTAGACACAGCCCTTGTCAATCAGAACAAGTGGCATTCCAGACAGAAATTAGAAAAGCTAAGAGAGCATGAAATCACCAGTGAATTGAGGAGGCTTTCTTCTTATCAGATGTCTACAAGATTGTCAAATGACATAAATATCAACCTCAAGACCCCACTTCTTCTTTATGACATTCTGACAGACATCTAGAACAATCTTGTGCTGGCAAATCTTCTCTACTGCATGAGACACTTCTGGCCAGACATCTTGATGCAGAAGATATTTCAGAGCATACATCAATAATTCCATGCAGAGAGATACTCTGGATGCTTCTTACAGAGCAGAAAGTCTACAGAGCCACCTGCCAGACACTTAGCACATCTTCTGGCCTGGATGGCATTACAGTCAAGGTTCTTCAAAAGACATGGCCAGTGATAGGCAATCAAATTGTTCTACTCTTTCAACACTGTATAGATCAAGAAATCCACCCCCAGAGCTTCAAAAAGACTGAGATGATGATTATTCCAAAGTCAGAGAAAAGAGATTACTCTCTATCAAAGTCTTATCACTCAATTGCACTGCTATTCTGTCTCAGCAAAGAGCTGAAGTGTCTGATAGCTAGATGAATGTCTCATCTTGCTCTTCATCATCACATTCTAGCAGAAGATCAGTGTAGTGCTGTTCAACAGAGGTTTGCAGTAGATCTCACCACTGCACTAGCCTGTGACATACAAGAGGCATGGGACAAACACCTTCTGACTGGCATGATCACTCTAGATGTCAAAGAAGCCTTCAACAGAGTCCTTTGAGGCTGGCTTCTAAGATGTCTACAGGAACAGAACTGGCTGGCAGTTCTGATAAAGTGGGTAGCATCTTTTCTCAATTAATGACTAGCTTTGATTCAACTAGACAGCATTCAATTGAAGGTGTTTCAGATTCTCTGTGATCTTTCACAGAGATTCTCTGTCTCATCAATTCTCTTTCTGCTCTATGTAGAACCCCTCCTCCAGCTTATCAAAGACTGGTTTGAGTATGCAGACAACATTGCAATTCTGGAGACTGGAAGCTCCCTTGAGCAGATAGGAAGTCAGCTTCAGAATTCTCTCAACCACACTCTGAAATGAGATATTGACAATGAAATCTCATTTGACTCAGCTAAGACAGAGCTTCAATACTTTCATAAAAAAATCAAGTACTCAGAGCCCTTCATCTTCTTTAATGAACAGACAATTTCTCTCAATAACTACATCAGATGGCTAGAGGTTTTCTTTGACAGAAAGTTACTCTTCAGAGAACATATTCACCTTGTGTGCACTCAAGTCAGAATTGTTACAGAACATATTAAATCACTAAATGAAGTCTCATTTGAAAATCAAACACATTTGCTCAGACAAGCAACTCAAAGCTGTGCCTTCAGCACTCTGTTTTATGAAGCTGAGATCTGGTTCTCAAAGCAAACCTCTCAGACAGTCATTGACAAGATTCAGGTAGTCTTCAACAATGCTGCTCAAGTCATTCTACCTGTCTTTGCCACAATGTCTATCTCTGTTCTCCTACATGAATCAAGCTGAGGCCCAGTCAAAGCCTGGCTAGAAAGAATACATGATCAACTAGCTGTTCACATAGCTGCAGCTGATCTGTCACATCTCCTACACTGAAGATGATACATCTCATGTTTTAAATGAATTAGACAAAACATTAAAATGACAGTCATCACATCTGGCTCAGAGTTCTTGCCTTCTTGGGACAATTCTGACATACTAAATAGAGAGCAAAAGACACTAGAAATTGAGGCTGTGAGACAAGCTGCAGGACCAGCAGCTTTTCAAAACTGACTTCATAAAGCTGTATCCCCTCTCAATCTCATCACATATACTGATGGCTTCAAAGACAGTCAAGAAGTTTCAGACAGAGACTACTGTCTATACTGAGAAACAAATCAATCTCTGAAGCTTGATAAGCTGCCTCTGAGCTGCATCACTGAGGTCTTTGATGCCAAAGTGCTTGCAGCAGTTGCTGGTCTCAAGGCAGCACTACAGAACCCCTTCTCTATGTTCACACAGCACATTATAGTGACTCTAGACAATGAAGAGACTGCAATAAGACTTCACACAGACACATTCACATGAACATCTTTTCTCATCTTTGCTAAGTTCAATGAACTCTGCAGGTTCTGGACAAAACAGAGCCCAGGTCCAGTCAGCTCAAGATGAGTCTATGTTCAATGATGCTTCAGCCATGCTGGAATTTCAGACAATGATGCTGCAGATGCTGTGACCAAGTCAGCCTGCACAATGAAATGCACTCACTGCACTCTGACTCTGGTGTGAGTCAAATTCTATGCTAAAGAATACTTCAATGCCTCACTGTAACAATACTGAAGCTTCAATAGCACATCATGATACAAGAACCTCAATATCTCAATGTTAAAAGAACTCTTTTCTGAGCTCACTCTTCTCTGAAGGAATCTAGGTCATCTGCTGACAGCTAGAACAGATCACAGTGACTTTGCAGCCTATCATCACAGATGAGCACATGACAATGCACTCCTCATCTGCTCTTGCAGCTGAGATAAGATCTCTGAGCACTTCTTCTTTTGCTGAAAAGATCAGAACATTGAACAAATTAAAATCTCTGAAGCATGCTGAGAATCAAAGAAAGCAATTGACTGACTTCTCAGCACAGTAAGAGAAGCTACAATCTTCTCTATCTGATGCACTAATACCTGCTTCTTCATCAATATTCAATGCTGCTACTAGAATCTGTTCAACATCTGACTTCTCTCTTCTTCTCTCTCTTTTCTATGCTACTTATATACATTTCTCATCACCTCTACACACCATTCTAGAAGTCCTTGACTTCCTCAGTCCTGTAATCTTCAGCTACTATGCCATTCAGAACCTCCAGGACAGGGGCTACTCTGTACATAGACTCTCAAGAGGGCTTCAGCTGACTAGACATGTCAGACAGCAGACTAGCTGCTGCGCTGGCACATCTGATACCCTTAGGGAGGTGCTGTGGCTGTGACAGCAGACTATTCTTAGTCAGCTGATCACGTGCCTCCAGGCATTAAATAAGTAATAATAATAATAATAATAAAAAAAACACACACACACACACATACACACACACACATACACCTGGTTGGTCGCCCCGCCCTATAGTTCGACGCGGACTCTACTAGATCACGTGCCCTTCAGGCACGTTGACTAACCGGGCGTTAAATAAAAACACACCTGGTTGGTCGCTGAACAAACATTAACATCTGACATCTTGGTATGATATGATATGACATGATGTGACATCTATGATATAAATATATTGATATAAGCCAATATCAGCTGGATAGAATGTTTGCAAGGCTTCAAAAGCTCAACATATAGCGGCTTATATTTTTAGCAATGCCGCGACGCTGCTATTAGGCTTCTCTCCTCTTGTCCGCTCGCCGCTCAATCTGCTACGATTAACTACTGCACGTAATGCGCTCTCCCTCTATCAACTCTCAGATCTTTCGTTGTACAATATCTATTCCCCGGAAGGCTTTCCCGCAACCTGATATTTTCTTCTCCCTGAAACGAATTCACACCCAGCACTTTCAGCCCTTTGTCCCTCCTCCTCCAAGCACACTTTCCAAACCTGGCATCGTGAGAACATACCCTCGCACCCGAAAATGGTTGCGCCGGCTCTTCTACGTCTCCCTCGGTGGGGGTGTTGTCTACGGGATTGACAGACGGTTCTACGCCTCTTCCTTAACTCGCACCACCTGGACATTTGCACTTGGCATGCTTGTTGCCCTTGACTACAAGATCAACTTTCGCCCCAACCCGCCTTTCGCTGAGTCTATAGCTGCCGTACATGCCAGAAACACTGATCGATTATCCTCCTTGCTCCGCACCAACGGTGGCCTGTATTTGAAAATTGGGCAGGCCATTGCTATGCAGTCTGCCATCCTGCCGCCCGAGTTCCAGAGAATGTTTGCTCGCATGTTCGATGACGCTCCACAAAATGACTGGAAGGACGTCGCTCGCGTGATAGAGGAGGACTTTGGCCGCCCTGTCGACGAGGTCTTCGGCATATCCTTTGATGGAAACTTAGAAAGTGGCAGTGGCGTAATGGAGCGAAATGCAAGGGCGAGTGCGAGCGTCGCTCAGGTGCACTGGGCAAGGTTGCCAGACGGAAGAGAGGTTGCTATAAAAGTCCAAAAGAAAGAAATTGCTCAGCAGGTGAAGTGGGATTTATGGGCTTTCAAGTACGCTTTCCCCCCTTTCTTTCCTCTTCTCTTACCTCACGCATTCCATTCACACTATCCTGGGTGACGGGGATAACCTGGATTGCCTTCTTTGCCATCCTTCCGTACGATATTTTTTTTCTTCTTCTTCAAAACCGTTACCCCCTGCTAACTGGTGAGTGAATCAAAATTATATAGGGTAGTAACCTATATTTATAGCCGAGTTTTTGACATTCCTTTCTACAGCCTCATTCCATTCGTTAGCGAACGTTTGTACTTGGAAACAGATTTTGAAAATGAAGCCAATAATTCTGAGAGAATGGCAAAGCTAGTCGCCGCTGAACCACGCCTCAGCCACCGGGTGTATATACCGAAAGTTTACCGTGAACTGAGCTCCAAACGGGTGATGACTGCCGAATGGATTGAGGGTGTTAAGCTATGGGACAAACATGGAATCACACGTCCGTGGCGAGGCGGATGGCGGCAAGGTAGTCCGGGATGCCATGGAACCCCTCTTGACCCTTACCCCGGAGAAGGCTACTCAGCGCCTTCACGCGCCGCGGCTTCTCGTGACAGGTATGAGAATCAGCACGAAAATATTAAGCCAAACCGCGACCATTGGAAGGGAAGAAATGGTCAAGGGGGCCTCGGACTTTCGCTGAAAGAGGTCATGACGACTATGGTTGATCTCTTTTCCGCTCAGATCTTCCTTTGGGGTTGGCTACACTGTGACCCTCACCCTGGCAATGTCCTAGTGCGCCGTCGCCCATCTGGACAAGCTGAACTTGTCCTTATTGATCATGGCCTCTATATTCATATGGAGCCCAAATTCCGACACGAATATGCCCAGTTTTGGAAAGCTCTCCTCACTTTCGACAATGCAACCTTACATAAAATAGTAAGAGGTTGGGGTGTTACCAACACCGACATTTTTGCCTCCGCAACATTGATGCGACCATATCGTGGTGGCGATCTTTCTACCTTTAAAGGTATAGAGGGCCTCAGCAAAAAGGAAAAAGCCCACAGACATTTTGAAATGCAGCAAGCTATGCGAAAGGCAGCACGAGGTGTCCTTGGTGACGAAACCAAGTGGCCTCGAGAGCTAATTTTTATTTCCCGCAATTTCCGCATTGTTCAAGCAAACAATCAATATTTGGGTTCTCCAGTTAACCGCATCAAGATTACCGGTATCTGGGCTTCCCGCGCCCTGGTAGAAGTCCCGGACCTTTCATTAACCGAAAAGATACGCAACTATAGCCGTCATCTCGTCTTCAAGCTCGTGCTCTTGAGCTCCGATATTTGGTTTTACGTGAGCAAGTTGAGGCAATTTCTAGGCCGCGGAGGGGGCATGGAAGACGATATAGAGGCACAAATGCAAAAGATGGCAAAGGAGATGGGTGTAGAATTGAATCAAAACATTTTTGAAGGCTAGAAGTTCACTAATGTTCTAGGTATTACTCCGTGAACCTTTTAATTCGCTTATGTATACATACTAATATCCTTAATATATATAGGGTGGGAATCTATCCCTCTTTATACACAGAGTGATGAACTTTGTAGTCTATAAGTTCAGTTGGAGGGTTACCACTTCAATCCCTCCCTCTATCTCTCCCTCTCCCTCTCCCTCTCACTCCCGCCTCCGGACTCTCTATACATCAGACAGTGCTAGCTGAACGCTGTGAAAAGACTTAGCAAGGAAATAAGATGAGATGAGATTTGATGGTTGAGAAGCATCATGCTTCATAGGAGATTTGATGAGTTGGAAACGGCATTTTTCATGCAAGATTTCAAGTGAGAATTACCACAAAGTAGCTAGTATTCATTATTTAACCATTGTTATGACACAGGCAGATCTGGGAACTCATCCCAAGCCCCACCCACTCCGCACCATCGAACCCCAACGAACCATTACCCGGAAAATCTCTTTATCTTGTCCATCTCCTCTCCAACCTCTCGGCGGATCTTCTCCGGCAGCTGTATTCGCCTGGCTCGAGCATTTTTTAACAGAATCCAGCCCGAGATGTGCAATTTTGATGAAATCCCGCTTCTGTATGGGGAACCCTGCGGGAGGATTTTGCAAGCTCTCAGCATAAAGCAGTGGATGATCTTGGACCTGTATCTGTCATCCTTGCTCACGCAAGCACGATGTCCCAAATCATTCCAATCGTGGCTAGGCTTCTTGGGAGAATATATTGTGTGATTCTTTCTGCGTAGAGTGTAGGACATCCGTAGCCTGCGTACATGGCAATATCTCCTCAAACTTTGAAATTCAGCAGATGAGCCTTGTTCTCACAGGTGATTCAGTCCTTGGGCTGTAAATGTGGGATAGAATATTGAGAGCGTAAGTGTATGCAGAAGCACAGAATCAAGCCCGATCATATGCACAAGTGCGGATCATCTGAGTTGTCTGCCTCTGCAGTTCCTCCCCTAATGGCTTCACTTGATACTGTGAGACGTCTGAAGCGTTTATTGGTAGCTATCTCGGGGATGCTATAACTACTGTGCGGTGCGCTAGTCCATAATAGGAAGCCTAGGCTCCAACACCATTAGTGTTAGGGAGCGAATGTGAGCTGCATAAGATAGGATTCTCAACGTTGCTAACTGCTATAACGAAATACTATTATTATTATTATTATTATTACTTATTTAATGCCTGGAGGCATGTGATCAGCTGACTAAGAATAGTCTGCTGTCGCAGTCACAGCACCTCTCTAAGAGTATCAGATGTGTCAGCGCAGCAGCTAGTCTGCTGTCTGACATGTCTAGTCAGCTGAAGCCCTCTTGAGAGTCTATGTACAGAGTAGCCCCTGTCCTGGAGGTTCTGAATGGTGTAGTAGCTGAAGATTACAGGACTGAGAAAGCCAAGGACTTCTAGAGTGATGTGTAGGAGTGATGAGAAATGTATATAAGAAGCATAGAAAAGAGAGAGAGAGAGAGAGAAGTCAGATGTTGAACAGATTCTAGTAGCAGTGTTGAATGTCAATGAAGAAGTGAGTATTAGTGCATCAGATAGAGAAGGTCATAGCTTCTCTTACTGTGCTGAGAAGTCAGTCAATTGCTTTCTTTGATTCTCAGCATGCTTCAGAGGTTTTAATTCATTCAATGTTTCAGTCTTTTCAGCAAAAGAAGAAGTGCTCAGAGGTCTTATCTCAGCTGCAAGAGCAGATGAGAAGTGTATCATCATGTGCTCATCTGTGATGATAGACTGCAAAGTCACTGTGATCTGTTCTAGCTGCCAGCAGATGATCTAGATTTCTTCAGAGAAGAGTGAGCTCAGAGAAAAGTTCTTTTGACATTGAGATATTGAGATTCTTGTATTGTGATGTGCTATTGAAGCTTCAGTATTGTTGCAGTGAGGCATTGAAGTGTTCTTTAGCATAGAATTTGACTCACATCAGAGTCAGAGTGCAGTGAGTGCATTTCATTGTGCAGGCTGACTTGGTCACAGCATCTGCAGCATCATTGTCTGAAATTCCAGCATGGTCAGAGCATCATCAAACATAGATCTGTCTCAGACCAGCTGGATCTGAACTCTGTTTTGTTCAGAATCTGCAGAGTTCATTGAATTTAGCAAAAACAAGAAAAGATGTTTATGTGAGTGTGTCTGTGTGAAGTCTTATTGCAGTCTCTTCATTGTCTAGAGTCACTATAATGTGCTGTGTGAACATAGAGAAGGGGTTCTGTAGCACTGTCTCAAGACTGACAACTGCTGCAAGCACTTCAGCATCAAAGACCTCAGCAGTGCAGCTCAGAGGCAGCTTATCAAACTTCAGAGATTGATTTGTTCCTCAGTATAGACAGTAGCCTCTGTCTGAAACTTCTTGACTGTCTTTGAAGTCATCAGTATATGTGATGAGATTGAGAGGGGATACAGCTTTCTGAAGTCAGTTTTGAAAAGCTGCTGGTCCTGCAGCTTGTCCCACAGTCTCAATTTCTAGTGTCTTTTGCTCTCTATTTAATATGTCAGAATTGTCCCAAGAAGGCAAGGACTCTGAGTCAGATGTGATGACTGTCATTTTAATGTTTCATTTAATTCATTTAAAATGTGAGATGTATCATCTTCAGTGTAGAGAATGTGACAGGTCAGCTGCAGCTATGTGAATGACTAGTTGATCATGTATTCTTTCTAGCCAGACTTTGACTGAGCCTCAGCTTAATTTGCATAGAAGAACAGAGATAGGCATTGTGACAAAGACAGATAGAATGGCTCAAGCAGTGTTGTTGAAGACTATCTGAATCTTGTCAATGACTGTCTGAGAGGTTCACTTTGAGAATCAGATCTCAGCTTCATAAAACAGAGTGCTGAAGACACAGCTTTGAGTTGCTTGTCTGAGCAAATGTGTTTAATTTCTAAATAAGACTTCATTTGATGATTTAATGTGTTCTGTAACAATTCTGGCTCAAGTGCATGCAAGATGAATATGTTCTCTGAAGAGTAACTTTCTGTCAAAGAAAACTTCTAGTCATCTGATGTAGTTATTGGGGGAAATTGTCTATTCATTAAAGAAGATGAAGAGCTCTGAGTACTTGATCTTTTTATGAAAGTATTGAAGCTCTGTCTTGACTGGATCAAATGAGATTTCATTGTCAATATCTCATTTCAGAGTGTGATTGAGAGAATTCTGAAGCTGACTTTCTATCTGCTCAAGAGAGCTTCCAGTCTTCAGAATTGCAATGTCATCTGCATACTCAAATCAGTCTTTGATAAGCTGGAGGAGAGGTTCTATGTAGAGCAGAAAGAGAATTGATGAGATGAAAGATCTCTGTGAAAGATCACAGAGAATCTGAAACATCTTCAATTGAATGCTGTCTAGTCAAATCAAAGCTAGTTGTTGATCAAGAAAAGACACTATCCACTTTATCAGAACTGCCAGCCAGCTCTGTTCCTGTAGATGTCTTAGAAGCTGGCCTTGAAGGACTCTGTCAAAGATCTTTTTGACATCTAGAATGATCATGTCAGTCAGAAGATGTTTGTCTCATGCCTCTTGTACATCACAAACTAGTGCAGTGGTGAGATCTACTGCAGATCTCTGTTGAACAGCACTACACTGATCTTCTGCTAGAATGTGATGATGAAGAGTGAGATGAGACATTTGTCTAGCTATCAGACACTTCAGCTCTTTGCTGAGGCAGAATAGCAGTGCAATTGAGCAGTAAGACTTTGATAGAGAGTAATCTCTTTTCTCTGACTTTGAAATAATCATCATCTCAGTCTTCTTAAAGCTCTGGGAGTGAATTCCTTGATCTATACAGTGTTGAAAGAGTAGAATGATTTGATTGCCTATCACTGATCATGTCTTTTGAAGAACCTTGGCTGTAATGCCATCCAGGTCAGAAGATGTGCTAAGTGTCTGACAGATGACTCTGTAGACTTTCTGCTCTGTAAGAAGCATTCAGAGTATCTCTCTGCATGAAATTATTGATGTATGCTCTGAAATATCTTCTGCATCAAGATGTCTGGCCAGAAGTGTCTCACACAGTAGAGAAGATTTGCCAGCACAAGATTGTTCTAGATGTCTGTTGGAATGTCATAAAGAAGAAGTGAGGTCTTGAGATTGGTATTTATGCCATTTGACAATCTTATAGACATCTGATAAGAAGGAAGTCTTTTCAATTCACTGATGATTTCATGCTCTCTTAGCTTTTCTAATTTCTGTCTGAAATACCACTTGTTCTGATTGACAAGGGCCATGTCTACATGCTGCATGATATACTCTTCTGGCTATCTTGACTGCTGGGGTCCAACATGGAGCATGATGACTCTTGAGTCCTGGGGTGAGAGAGCAGAAGCCTTGTAGAGCCAGTTGAAGAGATTTCATGATGTTCATCACTTTCTCATTCATGTTCTCATAGACTGATGAGAAGAAGAGAGTGAGTAGTTGCAAGAAGTGATCAGCATCACAGATCATGAGACTAAGCTTCTTCTTCTTCTTAATCAATTGAGTCTGAGTCTGTGATAATTGAACTGTTGTGATAAGAGTTTCATGATCTGAGATGCAGTGCAGTTCAGAAGCAATATGACAGATAGCTGAGTTGACAGCACAGAAGACAAGATCAAATGTGTCTTTTTGTCTATGTGTAGAGGATTCAGCCAGGTTAAGAAGCTGGAGTTTCAGAAAGATTGCTCAGTTATACAAATTCTCTTCTACTTGAGAATGCCTATCAGTTGTAGAGTCTCATGCTGTGTGTCTAATATTAAAGTCTTCTAATGTCATCCAGGAGATGGTCTCTGTGGTGTGTGTAAGAGAGAGAAGGTTTTGAAGACCTTGACCTGCATCTGTGATGCCAGATGAGTCATTGTATATGTTGTAGATATTAGCTTTTTTAAAGTTAGAGATCTTAACTGAGACACAGACAACATCTCTTGAGATATCTGCTATAGGTTGAGTTGGTGCAAGAGCCCTTCCATTTCTGACATAGAGCAGTACTCTGGGCCTCTTGGTCCAGTTGAAGGAGAGTGAGGTGAAGTGTTTGTATGAGAAATGACTTTTGAAGAGGTGGATGAAGAGGTTCATAGCTATTCAGAGTTTCTAAATGATCACAATGTCACAGACTCTTTCATCTGCTAGTGAGAGAGCAATGTTGTGAGAGCTTGACTGTCTTTCTACATTGACTTGATATACAGTGAGTGTAGATTTGTGAGAAGGACTGTGACTGCTCTTCATTAATGAAGGTTCAGACTTGATGTGATCTTGATGTCTGTTTGAGAGCAGGTCATTGAGTCTGTCTGATTGCTCTGAGAGCTAGTGACTGATGTCAGCAGAGCTGAGAGAGGAGATGAGATGAAGTCTCTAGAGTTTAGCTCTGGGTTGCTCTTCTCTGCTGAAGTTTGATGAGCTGAGATGAATGCTCTTCTGCCAGCTTCACATATTGAGTGTAGCTGATGGTGGGAGATGTGTTCTATATGTTCAGAGACTATTTTGAGCCTCACTGGACAGTCAGTGCTGAGAGTGAGATGAGAGTCAAGACAGTTGCAGCAGTGAGCTGATGTTTGACATTCATCTGAGTGTGTGAGACTGCTGCACTTCTCACAATGTAGAAATTGCACACAGTTTCTTTCTGTGTGAAAGCTATGACATCTTGTGCAAATTGAGATCTTTGATGATTTCTTGATTTTGTTAATCATCATCAGATGACTGAAAAGATGAAGTTTGTTTGAAAAGAGATGCACTTTAGAGATTCATACTCCAACCCAGACATACCCTTCATGCAGATTGGGGTCCATGGACTTCTTTGTTCAGTGACAATGAGTGATTGAAGTCTGATGAGCAGTATCTCAAATCTCAGAAAGAAGCATCTCTTCTGACACTGGAATCAGAGTGATATTCTGTTCTTTGAAGCTGTGTGTCAACTTCTTGATTGAATCAACTACAAAGATGATTCAGAATTTCTGTCACTCAATAAGACAGTCATCTACAGCAGCTTTCAGCTTATCTGCATGTTCAAGAATGAAGGCTGCCTTCACTGGGAAGAGGGCAGCCATGGTGATTTTCAATGAGCAGTGCCATACATCAGTGATCCAGGTCAGATCAGAGATCATGACATGTACTTGTTCATGAATAGCTTGAGAGTCTAGGTCATGAGCAGTGTGTGCTGCAGATAGTCTAATCATGACTCATTTGTCTTTCTGTTCTTGATGCAGAGGGCAGTTGACCTGCTGTATCTGCTTCTTGTGAGATTGTCCCATTGCTGAAACAGTCTGAGAGGAATTGTTTGAGAGAATTGCCTTAGCTGTCATGACAGTAGCATATGTCAACATAGATTTTGATTTGACAGTGAGGTCTTTAATGACTTTGACTATGCTGTGTCCCATGACTTGCCTTAGTACAGCAGTCTGGCATGATAGAGAGTTTTCATAAGTGCAGAGTATTAGATCCAGTACTGCAGATAGCTTATTGCATAGCTCAAGCACTGCAGCTAGCTCTGCAGAGGAGGAGTTGTTGACATGACTCAGCAGAGCATTGAGCTTATAATTCACTGTGAAAGAGAAGTTCTTTGTGGTTAGCAGGACTGCTTGAGTGCAGTCAGTCACATTCTCAATGAATTCTCCTTCTGGTGAGAGGGCTGGGTGGGGATTGAAGTCAATATTGATTTGATGTAGTTGAGCTGTGGTGGCTGTTGTAGTGTCCAACACATTCTGAAACATGATGTTTTGAGGCTGGGGAGGGTTGTCTGAGGGTTTTAGTGAAGCAGAGGAGATTGCACAGACTCTCTTCTTTTTAGAGTAAAGAGAAGCCTTGGTGATAGCAATGTTGCTGTTGTTTTGACTCATCACAGCATGTAACAAAATACTAATCTTGATGAGATGAAAATAACAACCCACGTGGTCACGTGATGAGGGTTAGGCCTAATCCGGTGCTTGAGTTTAATCGGGTGCTTGAGCCTAACATCATCATGCTGGTAGGTCACCATCAATCTTGTCCTTCAGATAACTGTCTGAAGTCTTTTTTGTCAACTGATATAGTGATTTTGAAATTTGACTGTAGTTCATTATAAACTGTTGATAAAAATTGTCAAATTCTAGAAATGATTAATAGACTTTTTTGACTATGATTAAGATTTGTCATCTTATAATGACAGTGATCTTTTCAAAGTTTTTCTTAATTTCTTCTGCACTAATGATGAATTTTAGATATTTCATTCTCTGGACAGTGAACTCACATTTCTGAATGCTGATTTGCAAGTCAGCTGTTTTTAGTCAATTCAGTATGAGATTTATTAGCTGCTTGTACTTCTTCAACGTTCTGCTATAAATTAGAAGATTTTTTATGAATGCTATCATAAATCTGTCCAGGTGTTATAGCACTGTCGCTGATAGTATGAGATAAGATTAATTCATTTCAATCTTAATCATATTTGATTGCTAAGATTAATCTGCTTTAATTTTCAATTATATTCATTTGCTAAGATTGATCTACTTCAATTCTCAATCATCTATATATATTTAACTACTTATTTATTCTCATATTCTAATTCTTAATTTAGTATTCTCATTGCAGCTATCTAGTAGATAGATGAATTGAGCTTTTATATTATTATCATTATATATATAAATTGAGTCATAATAGTTTATATTAATAAAATATAAAAAGAAAATATTTTTTCTTGTAATATAATTAAAACTTGAACATAGCTACTTTAAATTATATATAAAAAAATTTAAAGATTTTTAAAATCTGATAGATATGATTTCTATAATATAGTTAAAAATCTAAATCATATTACTGATAAATTACTTATTGAATAATAAAATAAAAAAGATATTAAATATTATAGTTTAATTTAATGATATAATAATATATAAAATAAAAGCTTAATTTATTTATTTAACTAGATAGCTGTAATAAAAATATTAAACTAAAAATTAAAGTATGAGAATAAATAAGCAGCTTACTATATATAAATAATTAAAGATTAAAGTAAATCAATTTAAGAAATTGAATATGATTAAAGTTAGAATAAATTAATCTTATTTCATATTATCAGTAACAGTACTATAATATTATTCTCTAGTTTAAAAGAGTACTTGCTTTCAAGAAGCTATATTATATATAAAAAAAGAGTAAAATAAAATTTATTAAACTTATTAGTAGATTGATTATCTTAGCTATTATTTATCAAATTCTTATATATCTTTTTTTATATTTCACTAATATCTAAGTCATTGTCATTATATTTTTTATTAAAGATTAAAATTCATATAACAGTTTGACAATAGTAATAAAGCTTAAAAATATAAATAGAAATGATAGTCTTCAATTTAATAATCATTAAATTCACAATATATATAATAGCTTTCTTAATAGTATTTTTTTATTAAGAAGATGAAATTAATAGAGTACATGATAAAGAAATATATAAAAAGTTAAAAGTATTAATCTGGTTTAAATTCATTAAATCAAAGTGATTATATTAAACTGAGTAATTATAATAAGCTGAATAATCAATCTGCTAAGATATATAAGATAAGAATAAATAAAAAAAAATTACTAGAAGCTAGTTATTAGATAATGTACAGAAATTTCTTATAAGTTTGAAATAGATTTAATTGCTATGCCAAATAGTTATAGATTAATATATTGAAATGCTGATAAAATTGAGATATTTTTAAAAAATCTATCTACTTCTAAGCTTTGATCTCATAAAAAATATATTTAAACTTCATAATATAGACTGTCAGAGATTTACTTGTGCTCTGCTTTAGATTATATAATTTGTCTTTTACCTTAATTATCTTGTTTGAGTTATTATATATATGAGAAAACTGATTGAGAATTGAATTATAGTTTTAATTACTTACTTCTTCAGCTTAAGCTAACTAGAGAAGAATCATCATTTGTATATTTAAATCTAGATTTAAGTAGATGTAGTAGAACTGAGTGATCAGATCTTTAATAGCAGTTTGATTAATATATAATTTAACTTTAATTAAAAAAAGTTAGATATCAAATTTCAGAATTTAATTAGTAAACTTTTCAAAGTCTAACAATAATAGTTTCAGATAGAATTGAAATTGAAATTGTATTAGAGTATAAATATAAGTTGCATAAAAAGAAAACTCTCTGCATTGCTAACTACTATATAATGAAATACTAAACTTGATAGAATGAAAGAAGGTGCTAAGGTCTGCCCAGATTATAACAACCTGCATGGTCACATAATAAGAGTTAGGCCTAATCAGGTGCCAAATCTCAGTCAGACTTAGTTGAGGCATTGAGTCTAACAAATTAAGATTAAAAGTTATTTAGAGCTATTTACAAGAACTGATATTTAATTTATAAAAATTGACATTTGATCTGTAACTATTGATTTTGATTGCAGAGCTTCTGAATAATATTCTCAAATTTCTAATAAAAAACAACAAGAGAAGCTTTTATAAAGATAAAAATAAGTAAAAAAATAATAAAGAAAAATAAAAATTAATAAAAGTTTTGAATATTTAACATGATTGCAACTATTGAGAAACTTAATCAGATATAAATGTGAACATAAATATGAACATGAACATGAATATAAGATTTGCCTACTCAATCTCTAGAGCTTATGAGAAAGAGAAGTTTAGTATTATATCATAACTCAATTTAAAAATATAATAATATAAAATAAAAGCTCAATTTATTTATATAACTAGATAGATATAATAAGAATACTAAATTGAGAATTAAAATATGAGAATGAATAAACAGTTCTAATATATATAAATGATTGAAAATTGAAATAAATCAATCTAAATAATTAAATATAATTAAGATTAAAATAAATCAATCTTATTTTATATTATCAGCAATAGTACTATAATATTAAAAGAAAAATACTCAATTGATTAATTAAATATAATATTTTTATTTAATACTAAATTAGAAAGAAAGTTTTTAATTAAATTTATAGAAAAAATAAAAATTATCTCTAAAGAATAAAACTTAATATTAAATAAATTTGATATTTAATCTATAAAAAAGTTGGAAATATTTTTAAAAATACTTTTATTAAATTTTTTTTTATATTAAATTTATTATTATTATTATTATTATTATTATTATTATTATTATTATTATTATTATTATTTTATTTAAGTTAAAAAAAACCGAATTAAAATTAAAACTATAAATATATTTTTTATGAAAATATTATTAAATACTATATTATTTCAGAATAAAACTTTATAAGTATATAAATTAATTACTATTTATTAATTAGATTAGTAAAATAATTAAATTTTAATTTTAACTATATAGATATTATAGTTATTAATTATATATATATATAAATAAATAAATAAATAAATAATAATAATAATAATAATAATAATAATAATAATAATAATTAAAATAAATTTAAAAATAAATTAAAGTTTTAATGATAAATATTCTATAGAAATAAATCAATTATTATCAAGACTTTGTATCACACTATCATATAAAGAATAAAATCTAATTAAATCTTTAAAATATTTATATCAAATAATTCTTTTGCATATTTAATAACTATTATATATAAAATAAAATATATGATTATTGAAATAGTAAACTCTTATAGTTATTATCTCAATATACTTTCAGATATACATAATATCTTTCACATGAATCTGCTCTGTCTCATATTTTTGAATTTGTTGTCATTTCAAAAGATAGTTGATTGACAACTTTTTGTCATTCTCAATAAAGAGAATGAAAAAAAGAATAAAATTGAACAAATTCTTAATCAATGTCATGGTTCAATCTAGAGGCATGATAATATACAAGATAAAAGCTTAATTCATCTATCTAACTAGGTAGCTGCGACAAAAATACTAAACTGAGAATTAGAATATGAGAATTTACGAGCAGCCTAATATATATAAGTGGTTGGGGATCGGAGCGGATCAACCTAAGCAACCGAATATGGTTGGGGATCAGAGCGGATCAACCTTAGCCCATATTACTAGCGGCAGCGCCGTAACAATCAATATGTCACTCAATGCCATTATGAATATCTAGTCAAGTGAGTAGGTTATGAAAGACCTATCTGAGAACCTGCATCTGCTCTTAAAGACACTGCCACCCTCATCATATACAAAGAAACCAAGACATCATTACACTCTGCGTAGGGGGGGATAATGTGAAGGGCTATGACCTAGCCCCTACTAATTTCCTCCTCATGCTAGTGCAGCCTCAGTAGCTCATTATGTAAGCACGCAGCAGACAACTAGTTAATACAAAAGCCCATGAAGGCACTGTGTGCCTGTTGTCTTCCTCTTTTCTTTTCCCCTCAACAAATCCTTTTTGTATTTTAACAATATTCAATATAATCTTATACTCTTAGGGATCTGGACCTAGCTCATTACAGTATTCATTGACCAAGTCTTCGATGACGCCTCGATAGAGAGTACATCTTCAAGTAATGCCCGCTTGGGGTGCTCGCTCACTTGGGAACTACATTAAAGACTTTCTAACTTTTTCTCTAAACTCTCAGCCGGACGCAGTCTGGAAAACTGTCTTTGAAGAAGTGCTTGGGATTTTTAATCATGCCAGTACGGAGTATGCCTGTAGCTTCTATCAAAATCGTAGATAAACGAAATGCTGGCCACATTACAGCGATGGTTAAATCTACAGCAGTACGAAGTGCTTGGATATCTGGTTAAGAACAACTATCTAAAGTCCTCGCAATTCGGATGTTAGTACGGAGTATTCCGTAACGTAATAATTCACATTAACTAAGGAACCGATGAGATCCATTTTATTTTGGACAATAATTAGTTCCATTGGTTGCATGGTTATAGGAAAACGGCAGCCGGTACTCCGTATATACAGGATATATCGCACTTCATATTGTACTGAAATTATAACAAAAGCGAACATCATTTCATGAAAACCTTATGAGTCTTCGATAGAGCGGCGTAAATGCGACACAAGCGCCCGCGGCGGTAACAAGACAAAAAAATACAAAAAAATACAATGAGTAGAAAAAGCAACAATATATTATAAAAAAACAAATCCGATATATGCTCGCGGGAACTGGACGCAGGATGGAATGGATGACGGGTGGAATTTGCTTGCGAAGGTTGAGCAACTGACAGAATGGAGGCAACAAAAAAAGGAGGAATATGTAAAAAGGAACACACACCGAGAGAAGCAGTCGAGTCAGCGAAGAAAAGAAAGAAGGTAGAAAATGTAACCTTGGAAAGAACATTATTCTTCCTTCTTATCAACGTACTGTACATAACAAACATGATAAACTTATCCCGTCGCCCCGATGATTGGACCCAGGCCGACCCAAAAAGCCTCGTTTCTCACCTTCGTTAATGAGACAGGATAGGTGGTATAGATGCCGACAACTAAACACAATTAGAGATCCGTTATCATGTCCCGGGTGTTGCTGTTCTTGTTGCCCAGGAGTATTCATATTATCCCGCCCGCTGCGATCAAAAACTGGAGGCTGATTCGTGTTTTTACCGGGGGAGTGAGGATCTGCACTGTCACCTGACATAGGTGCCTTGCCCTTCACCCTTGAAGGGACGTTCTGACTTCCAACCAAGTCAAGGCGCCTTGCGTACCCACGCTTAGCGTCATCATCCTGTTTATGTTCCCAAGCCTCCCATAGCCAAGCCCCCGATCCAGGCCCCCACACTCGTCGTCGACATATTTCACACACTTGCCCTCGCGGCCTCCACCCTCTTTGGCGAAGTTTGGCAATTTCATCTACATGAACAAAAAGGTCCTTATCCAGCATAGCATTGGCCAGGGTAAGAAGAGATTCCTCGTAGGTATAGGCTGAAAATATCGACGCGATCACGGAGCGAAGTTCCGAAAGTGAAGGTGAAGCGGCGGTTACTCGTGTGAGAAACGCTCGCATCACACGCAAGAAAGAGATATCAGTTTTTTCGCTGGGCCTATCGCTGGATTTTGTCGTACTGTTCAACAAGGCTGTAAATACTTGCTGAACAAGAACCCGAAAGGAAGAAGAAATTTCTCCAGGCTGAGCACTATCAACCTCCATAATTGGATCATCCCGTTCGAAGATGGGCAAGGATTCCCTCAGCAATGGTGACATATTGCGTGCTATGCGAACCACAACTTCAATAAGATCGAGCCACAGATTCTCTTCAAATGATAGAGGCTGTTTGAGGATTGCCAATCCTGTTTTGCTTAATTTATTTGGCCCTCGAGACTTCCTGGCTATTTTCGACTGTTGTTGGCAAAGCCAAATTCCAACACGAGTATAGTTACCTAATGATTGGATGAGATCGGCCACTGCTTCTGCCATGCTTGCGGAATCAGGGCTTTCGTCCGCATTTTGCAACAGCCCTGACAAGCCAGCCTCAAGGGTTCCGATGTGCTTGACAAGCCGGCCCATTGCAGCACGCACTTCCCCTTGACGAGCCAAGAGGATTATTGCAGCATCGATAATCCCACTACTTTCCATTGAAGGGAGTACTGCATTGAGTTTGAGATCGCCAACTTCTAGGATATCCACAAAGTCTGAGACGTGTGAAGAGTCATATCGGCACATAAGTTGGACATAGCGCTCAACAAGGTGATGATCAAATTTCGCCGCAAGCCCAGTCTCCGCAGTGCGTTTCCGCTCTGGCTCGAATAAAGTATTGAGATACGAATATTGTCGGAAAGAATCTTCCTGAAGGACGTGAAGAAACTCTTTATGTAAATCGGGGGCCACTTCCTGGACGGTCTGAGCAGCTCTCTTGACATCAATATTCACGATTTTTGAGGCGTGATCTTTCACCACAGCATGCACCTCACAACGCTGTTTCTTGCTCAATTTCGAGCTCGGACGGAGGCAATCATGGATGCAACCGAATATCGACTGTTGGTTTTCTGGGTCCTCAAGATAAGTCAATAAAAGCTCAGGAAATTGTTTCTCTGCTTTATAGGTAGATTTCAAGACCCGGTAAAATTTCGCTTGCTTTAACAATGGAATTAAAGCTTGCACATCCGGCGGGTGGTAGATCGACAATAGATATTCCGCACTGAGCTGACAATCACCTATCATTTCCGGATCAGGGTAACGACATAATCTCAAAAGCACTTGTTGAAGGGTAGATCCTGATAGAAGGGTATACTGAGGATATTTCGGTAGATTCCGGGCAATAAACATGTCGAGATAGATGGTGTCTTCTGGGCCGAATTTAGGAGATTCCATAACTTCAAGTAATATGCTAATTAGATATTGGCGGTTAACAGACAGGCCCGATGCAAATGAATCACCAGAAGTCGTTGTCACCACTCCGTTGCTGGCATGATCAACAGTATCATTTAAAAAACTGTCTTCAAAGGCTTCGTTAAGCATGCTCATGAAACTAGGCGTATCGAATTCGAGGATAGTTCTAAGGTCGGAAAAGAAGTCCTGGGAAGTACCCTTTTTGGAATTTGATGAAGCCTGAGTACTGCCCAAGAAGAGAAATTCATATATCCCTGCTTTTGCTCTAGAAGCTTCAACATCATGCATGTCTTCCCCGGTAGGGTAGATTCTTCCAGTTAACACATATGAAAGGTAGGGAAACATCTTCATCACATTTGAATGGTCCCTTGTTTCCAACTCGCCATTCCTATTCACAGTTCGGCAAGTGTGGTGAATCAAGTTGATGAGTTCAATAAGTGGTCCGACATAATCGCCTAATGCACGAGTCCACACATATATAAATGCGTCATATAGATTATACTGCTTGCAGAGCGAAGTAACCTGGTCAATATCAATCGTTGATGTATCAAGTAGACAAATGATTTCTTCCAAACGAGTGGTGTTATGGTTCATTACGTAGTGGGTGATTAATGACTTAACAGCGGTGGGAGGCAAAACCCGAACACTGCCTTGAACGATGTAAGGTTCAAGGATGTCCAAAAATATGCCTTCGGAGCCATATTCTTCATACCAGCTATAAATTTCGTCGAAGAGAAAGGTATAGTCCGACAACGCATCACATGCTGAAATGCAGGAATCGGCCAATTCCTGCAACTGGTTCGACTGAATTTGCTTGTTGGTTGCTTCCTGGTTTCTCCCAAATACATACTTGACGGATGCTGACATCATGTCCAACAATTTTTCATGCACTAGCTCATGCCGTAAATCATTCTCTTCAGGGAGTCCCACGGTGAGCTTTTCAGTATCGCCTCTGTAATAAGCGGCTGCCAATCGGATGGCCCCAATATAGTCACCACCTTCCATAAGGGCCAGTAATCTGTCAGCCCAGTTAGAAAGGCATCCAACTGACATGTCATTGACGCCAAGGAGGAACAGTCGACCTTTATATGCTCGAAAACTCATGTAAAAAGAATCTGCTATTACTCCGTGCATTGATTCATCCTCCTCATCAAGCTGCTCAACTAGGGAGTGAAGCTGTTTCGAAAAGATATCCACGTGATAGATATGTTTGTGTATGAGGTCGAAGGAGTCTGTAAGTCGTAAAGTGTTGTCTTCCAAGATCAGAAGTTGCTGAGTGATTGTCATCACTGCGAGCACCGAGCGACTTATCCACTGTACGGCCACAATTGCCTCTTCAGCTCTCCACCTACTTCGAGGTCTAAATTCGAAGCTGGGAGGTTTGTCTCTGTCTGCAGGTTCTGCTATACTCAATTCTGAAACCTCCAATACTGTAAGTACATTCGACCAACAATAAACCAATTTAGATTTTGAGGTTTCCGAATTTTTCCCCTTCAGCTTGATGGCTGGAAACCAAGCAAGCGCAGCCGTAAGCGCACTGTGAGCCACAACTTCCTTTGGTCGAATGGCTTTATACTGAGTTTGTGCAACGGGAGTTGTCGATACAATCACTAACAGATACGGCGTGAGCATGGCAACTAGCCCAATCGAGTCCGTTGCTTGTTCAACGTTGCCCAGTGGGAGAGGAGAAAACGCAAGAACAGAGCTCGGCTTTCGAGGTCGGCCACCGCCAATAACAGCACCAGGGTACCGTCCCAGAATCCGCGTAGTTCGTACTACACGGCCAACAGCTCCCATACCTCGAGTAGCAAGGTGTGAAAATGCCATGCCATGATCATCAGCAGAGACCAGTGCGGTATGTCTTGTTCCCAAAAAGCCAATGTGGACAACGGCAACGCCGGAGATGTGACCATCGGATCGCCTGGATTCCATCTGGCCAGCTGTTATCGGTTGGATGTGAAGAAATGGGCGCGCAGATTTTGCAATTTCCCAAGTAAAAATATGGCCACCTCCATGGCCAGCCGCAATTGTAGTATGGTCAGCGGATATGGCGAGAGAGGTGACTGGACCACACTCAATAGCTATGTACTATCAGTTCTCGTAATAGGAAACATATTCCGGTTTTTTCTTTTTTTTTTGGAGGGTGGAGAAAATAAAAAATACCTTTTGTTCCAGGACCGATAATGGTTTTAAGATTCTGCTGGTAGTCAAACACTAATATGATTCCCTTGGCCGTCCCGATCACAATTGTGGTAGAGACCGCGATGCACATAGGTTGGCCGAAGTTCCGTTTGCCCACCTCAGAAAACGCCTGGCCAGTTATTTTCCGAAGTTTCGTCCATCGAACTACTTCCCAGGGCACTGCAGGGCTTTCTGGCAAATCTGGAGTGCTGGAGAGAATTTGACTGGCGAAAGAGGAGTGTCGCGAATGGGGTGCATTAACCGAAGGGGAACTTGGCCGCAGCGCGCTAGGCAGCGATACTGAAAGACGGGATTGAAATCTACGATCAAACGGGCGATGGCGGCTGGGGCTGAGATTGGAAGGAGAACCGTGCAGGCCAAAGGCACTACTTCTCGATGAAATCATAGAATCCTAACTAGTCAGCTGTTGTTTCGGGGATTTGAAAGACACGGGAAAATCGAAAGCAACCTACTTGAACTGACGGGGAGTCATCCGGTATTGATCTGGAATAATTAACACTCCCAGTTTCCCTATTCCTCTGATGTTGATGTTGATGTGATGACTCTTCCCCGGATCCATTTTGAAAGGCAGAGTCCGACTCCGCGCCAGCACAGTCTCGACTGCTGGTCGCTGATAGCGGGTTATCATCTAGGAATGCATCCTGACCGGGCTCTGCTTGATATTCCTGCCCCTCATCACTCGTATTGATGACATGTCCATTTGGCGCTGGGGAGAGGTGTTCGTGGTCACTGTTCTCCAGCTGTGGTTCATCCTCTCGAGCCCCATCGTCCACCCCCTCAGTTATGGAGCTCATGGGTTGTTTTGTCGAATGACCATCGTTTTTTTTCCCTCTTTTTTTTGTTCTTTTTGCTTTTAGGCGTACAGAACCAGTGTTGGGAATTCCAACGGGGAAATGCGATAGTTGCAGGGCAGGAAGTCGCGGACGTAAAGATGAGCGTCGGCGTAATATACAATGGGTGTGGTTGTGGAGGTCAAACTGAAACTGGGCGGGCAGCCCTAAGCCAGGCGCCTGGGAGAGGATATTTCGATATTTCGGGGGACAAGGATTCTCCCAAGGAAGACGGAAGCATGCAGCACGTTGACATCAAATACAAATACAAAGGCTCATCCTATGAACTAGCTAAGTTATGAATTGCTGGGTCAACGTTTCGTGGTGAAAGGGGAGAGAGAAGCACAAGTGTTTTGAGATATGTAGTTAGTTAATTAGTATTGACCTATTTTAGCTTAGTTACAACCTCATCCGTTGTGTTAGAGGAATTCCCCAGCTACCTGAGGTCACGTGCACCTATGTATTTATTGTAGGATGGTTGAATTGTTGGAGCCTAGGCTTCCTATTATGGACTAGCGCACCGCACAATAGTATATAGCATCCCTGAGATTAGGATACCAATACAACCACTTAAGACGTCCAACAGGTTGTGGCCCGGATAGCTTGTTTTTCTTTTTGAAGAGCCTTCCGCACTACTTCCGCACCCTATTTCTTCTTCTTCTTTAATCTAGGGTATAAAACGTCTCGCGGGGACTGCATCGCTGAATTGCAGCAAGGACCTGGCGGAAAGTGGCTGTTTTGGAAGCTTTGGTCGCGGGAAAAAGGTCGGATCAAGGGGGGGTAAACAGATGCCTCCAAGGACAGGGCCATTGGGTACCCCTGCAAGCAACAACATGGATAGGGGCGAACACGAATACGGTACACCTACCCCTGGGCCTAAGGGAGAAACTGGCCAAAGAGATGAAATAAATATGAATGAAAGCAATATGAATATGATGCGAATGATGATGAAATACATAAAAAGACAAAACAGACAGATAGAAAGGCTCATACAAAGACTAGGGGAAAACTCAGATTCCTTGTCAAATACTACTAAGGATCCCATTAAGGATAAAGTTGATGAATTTTGCAAAGATGCAAAGATCAAGTTGGAAGAAAAGCATATAGTCATCCTCACTGAAGTCAACTATCTGGAATGGAAGAGCTCTATCCTTGCAGATGCTCATTTGATTCAGGTAAAAGATGTTCTCAACAAACAACAAACAGCACCTTCTACCACAGTTCCTCTGGAAATTGAGCTTTGGAATAAGAAAAATGAACTTCTTTACATAAGGATCTTTCAATCTTTGAATGTAACTGTACGCGATTCCCTAGGACCACTGGATGAAAATTTCTATCTAGTAGCAACTATATGGAAGAATCTTGCTTAGCGTTATGCTATATATATGTGTATGTATGTGTGTGTGTGTGTGTTTTTATTTAACACTCAGTTAGTCCATGTACCTTATGAGCATGTGATCTAGTAGAGTCTGCATTGAACTATAGAGTGAGTAGAGCTGTGTCTGTAGACAACTATCTATTTAGAAGCTATCTTACAAATGAGGCAAAAGAGTTGCATATTGCTGCACTGGCAGAGTCTATGAGTCAGTTGTCATAGAGCAGAGATTTTGAGAGATTTTAGATTTATGAAAGAAAGATAAAGAAGATGAATAGAAAAAAAGACAAGAAAGAAAAAAAAAAAAGAAAAAAGAGAAAGAAGAAGAAGATGATGAGAAAAACAGAGACAAGACAGAGAGAAGAAAGATCTGTGAAATCTGATTTGAAGATGCATGGCAGTGCATTGAACAGATATTCTAATAGAAGACTGTTTCTCTTAGTCAGTTATTGAATTCTAGAGTCTCATGCAAGATTGTCAGTGTCTTGTGAAGATTGTAGATAGATCAGTGCTGCTTTGCTGCTTTTCTTGCAAAAGTGCAATAGTAGAAATGTTCTGAGATTTTGCTATGTCTGCATCAGCAGTAGCACTCTGCATCTTCATGCTTAAGATGACTATGATAGACTGCAAAGTCTCCATGATCTGATCAGACAGCATAGAGCTTTTCTAATATGAAGCATGAAAGTTTTACCTCTGTTGAGACTCTCTTTAGTGAGATCTCCAGCTTCATATAGCATTTGAACTAATTTTTGACTCAGTAGTTCTTAAAGATCTGTGTGATTTGTTTCATAGTGTGTCACTTTATATAAGCTAGAGTGTCTATGCTGTCAGATTGAGATATCATGCTTGTTGTAAAGAGTTAAGCTCTAAGAACTAGAGGCTAGTCCTTCTATATAACAAGGACAAATTGCTTGAGAAAGAAAAGAAAAGAATGAGATGAAAACTTGAGCTTAAGCAAGCTCACATAGCATGATCACATGCACACATGCAAATGATAACTAGGCTGAGTCAGCCAGTCAGAGTGAATCTAAAGGTTCAATTTCTTATAATACTTCTCTTCTCCCTCTTTGTTGCAGGTCTTTACAACTATTTAAAGTCCTCTTTACATCTAATTTTGCCTGCTGAGAGGCCTCTCAAGTGTTCAAGGCCTTCACTTCTTATAGAAGACTCATATCATTCCATGTAGACTCAGCCCAATTTACTCATTTAATGAGATATTGCTTTTTTCTCTGGTAGATTCATTCACTCTGAATTTTCTCAATCTCAAACTCAGATTCTTCTGAAGTCTCTATAGCAGGTGGCTGCCAGTCAGTTTGCCTCTGACTAGGCAGAGGATTCATTATCACAGCATGTAGAAGCTTTACATTAAAGATATTGTGAATGTCAGATGAGACATTCAGTCAGTAAGTATGAGATTCTATCATTTCTAGCACAGTATATTGATTGTATTTCATATTCAGCTTCTTGCACAGATGATTAGTTCTCATGTTCTCTAAGCTCAATCAAACCTTATCTTCAGATTGAAAGCTTGAAGCTGAGTCTCTTTGTCTATTCATGTATTTCTTTTGAGATTGCTAAGCATCTGTCATTTTTACTTGAGCTCACTTCAACACTTCACAGACCTTCCTCATATAATCATCTGCAAACTCAATGGGATTATGTGGTGTTTCAATGAGGGGTGCATCAGCTATATCAATGAAGAAGATGTGAAAAAGATATGTTAAAAAAAATAAGCTCATGTTTGTTGAGACAGTATCTCTATTATTGATGGCCAGCTCTGCTAGAGAAAGTCATTCACACCAGTCATTCTGTTGAAAGCTAATATACTTGTGTAGGTAGATTTTCAGAGTCTGATTCATTCACTCTGTAGCTCTGTCAGTCTCTGAGTGATAGACTGTAAAGAGTCATCTCTTAATATTTAACTTCTTACACATCTGAGTTCAAAACATGCTTGTGAAAGCTGACTCTTGATCTGACACTACCATCTTAGAGATGTCATGTTGAAGGATGATGTTGTGAAGAAAGACTCTAATCACTGTCTTCACATCAGTTTTCTTAACTGCTTTTAATATAATTCTCTTAATCAGTCTGTCTGTTATAATCATGATGTTCATGTATTCTTTAGAGCTCAGTAAGTTCATGATAAAGTCCATGAAAAGCTTCTGCCATATGTGTTCAGAAATGAGGAGAGGCTTAAGCAGTCTCTGATGTCAATCTTTCCATGCAGTGTTTGATCTGCAAAGATGACAGTTTCTGATCATTCTTCTCACATCAGCAGCATAGCCTGGTCAGTAGAACTTATGTCTTAGAACTTTTGCCATTTGCTCTCACCTGGGATAGCTGATAAGAGGTGAGTCATGAGCCTCATGCACTAACCTGGTTTGAAGAGGTTTGAAGTCTGGCACTCACTTATGATCTTGAAAGAGAAGCTCTCTGTTCTTATTTAAAGAGCACTCAGAGACAGAGGACTTAATGCTGAGTTCAGAAAGAAATCTGAATCTTTTCTCACAAAGAGTTTGCTTCAGATATTGCAAAATCTTGTCATTTTTACAGACCTCATTTCACTGAGCTTGAAGAGACATCTCAGATTTCACACTGGCAGTGATCACTATTGATTTCATTCCAGATGCCAGTACATTAAACTTAAGTAGTTGAGCTTGCCTCTGCTTGATTCTCTCATCATCAGTGCTCTGTGACATGTTCTGCTCTCTTCATGATAGAGCATTCAGTTCAGTGTTCAACTTCTCTGACCAGTAATCAATTCTGAAGTTAAATCAATAGAGAATATCCATTCAACATAGCTGTCTTTCATTTAGTCTGTGTGTAGTCATGAAGTATTCTAGATTCTTATGATCTGTGAGAATCTTGAATTTCTTTACAATTTGTAGCTCAGTGTCTCATTTCTTTAAACACTCAATTATCACTAATAACTTCTTATCATGAATCTCATAGTTGCATTCCACAGGTGAATGCTTGTAAGAGAAGAAGGCACATAGATGTAGAATGCTCTGCTCATCATATTGTAGCAGCATTTCTTTTGAAATGTAATCTGAGAAGTTCATTTTCAATATAGTCTCACAGTCAGAGTCAAATTGAAGCAGAATCAAAGTGGAGATAAACATTGATTTTAGACACTTAAAAGCTTCCTCAGCCTTGCTCATCCACAAAAAAGAAACATTCTTGCATGTAAAAATTGTCAGTGAGGTCATGATCTTTGAGAAATCTCTGATAAATCATCTATAGAAATTGGCAAAGTCTAAAAATCCTCATACATCTTTAAGAGTAGTAGGTGTTGCTCATTTCAAAACAGCTTTAACCTTCTTCAGATTCATTTGTATACTCTTTGTTAGACTCAGCGCCGGTTAGACTCGACGTCGGATTAAGCTCGGCGCCCGATTAGGCCAAATATTCTCACGTGATCAAATGACCATGCAGGTGGTTATAACCCAGGCAGGTCCCAGCACCTCTTTCATCCCATTAAGCTTAGTATTTTATTATATAGCAGTTAGCAATGCAGAGAGTTTCCTTCTTATGCAGCTTGCATTCACTTTCTAACATAATACTAAGCTTCATTCTATCTCTTCTACTCAGAATTGAGTAGAACCTGCTCAGCAAGAATCTGATATTGATAGCACAATATACAACAGCAACTCATCCTACCCCCTCTAGTCATCAGAGAGACTCAGACCAGAATGATCACTTCAGACTTCCAGCTCTCTGAAAATATCAAGAGAGACTGGTGATATGTTCTAACTAGACCAACTGATCAACTACAGATCTCACTTGAAGAATTCAGACAGATGATTCACTCAGATCAAAATCATGTCTATAAAAAGTTAACAGCAATCTTTGACAGCATCTTTGATGATGAAAAAATGTTGAGAGATACAATCACATGTCTGAGAATGAAATAGAACAACATCACTGACCAGACTGCTGTCAAGCAAAGTTAGATTGATGAGCTAATTGCTAAATATGATGAACTTAGTCACACTCTGATCTGCATGACAGTCAGCAATCAAGCAGCAAGTTGAGATGTCATCCCCTCTGAGACTATCTGAAGATCTGTCAAGATTAATGACTCAAAACACCTCACTGACAGCAAGAAGTCAAAATTTGAACACTGACTCTTTCAGATGAAGAACAAGCTTCAGGAGAATCCTGACCAATATCCTACTGAATGCATGATGATTGCATACATTGAAAACTGAACTGATGGAGACACAGCACATCACATTGCACTTTATATGGAAGAGGACCACCCTGAGTGATATCAGACTGCAGAAGAGATATTTGAGCACCTCAAGTCAATATATGAGAATGCTAACAAGCTGCAAAATGTCAAGAGTGATTATTGCAAGCTGATTATGCACAATGAGGACAATTATCATGAATTTGTCACAAAATTCTTACATCTGGCAGATGAGGTCAAGATTGTCAAAGAGAACTACAAAACAGACTTCAATGACAAGCTGTTCTTTGATCTTCAGAGAACAGTGACAGTAGTCAATGCAATCATCAATACATATGCTGAGTTTCAGAAAATCTGTGCTCAGACAGCTCACACTCTCCAGACAATCAATGCCACCCAGAAGTCAAAGAGCTTGTGAGGAAATGAATCTAATATCTTCAAGCAAAACACTCTACAGACCTCTGACAGTCAAACTTTCCACAGCATCTCAGCCACAAAATCCTCTATCATAAAGAAAGCCTTGAGTGCTTGTTCAGATATTCAGTGCTACTATTGTAAGAAGAAAGATCACATTATCAGAAACTGCTCTGCAAAGCAGAAGTCTCAACAGATGATCACTGAGCTCACAGAGAATGACACTTCTGAGCCTTCAGCAGATTCAGAAAAAGAGTGAGTCTGAGAGAAGACTTCATCTCAGATAGTTCAATAGTCTGTGAGAGGTTTGAGATGAAGGACTTGATTGGAGGAAAGAGCTTTAATGTCTCAATTAAGTTAGTTCACAATGAAATTGCTACTTCTACAAA